TACATATCACTTGCCGTCATACAGACGAGGTTTGCCGAATGTGTACACATCTCATGCCAAAAAGTTGCTTACATGGAAACGGACCCATTACATTATACCGACTTTTTCACTGGCGGAAACTCGTGCATGGAAAGCGGGCCTAAGATCTTGTTTTGTGACATTGACCAGGATTTTGAGTAAGAATGACATTGGCAATGCGACATATGTCGATGAGAGTAGAGTGCTCGATGATGGCGTGTTTAAGATGTGCAGATCAGTGGTACCACCACTGACTTGAGTGATTCTGATAAAGATGTGGAATGGGTGTGTTGTGATGAGTGTGACGAATGTATGCATGTTGTGTGTATTAGGGAGAGTCGGGGGGGGGGGGCGGGCATAGTTTATACTGCAAACATATTCCTTCTCATTTATTTGTTTTATAAATAAAGCTTATCACATGATCACAATCACGTTAAATTTAATAAAATATGTCGTATGTAGGGTTTTCGGGGTCGCTGGATCGAAATGCATGCTTGAAAATCAATTTCGGATATCGGTTACATAAAAATGTCCTGGCAAGCGGCGAAACGCCTCTCACAGAATCGAAAGGAAGACCTCAAAAAGAAAAGAAAAAAACCTTATCAAAACACTACACTTCTTGGAAATATATAGAAACCACACTGGCTCTGTATCACCTTTCACTGTAAACATTCTGAGAATACTAAATCAGCAACAACTGTTGTCAGAAATCATATGCTTCCGAAGCGCTTTATCTCAGGATATCCGCCAAAAGTGCTGAGTAAAAAATAGACAATGGTAAATTCAAAATCCAGATCTTCAAGGTAAATCACGGAATCTAGGAATGGCAATAGGAATGAGATTTATGTGAACATTATTATGTGATGATATGTGCCCTCTTGCAGGTTATTGTATAATTTCCGTATAAACATTAGACTGCGCAGACTACATAATAAATCTGTTCGGCATATTCAGTGGGATATCATTTGAGATCGGACATGGTCGAATACTATCGACATAGCATGTATATTTATGACTTTGTTTTGCCAAAATTGTTGTGAAACCCGTTGATACTTTTATATTTATAAAAATATTTTATTGTATAACGAGACAAATGTTTAGTTTTGATATTTTCTATAATCATATGTTCTTTATCTTCTCATTTGTTAGATGTGGAATGTGGATGTTAGCACGAGTTATACATTCGCGTCGTCTGGAAAGAAATTGTCTTTGCAGGATTTTGGGCCGCCATCTTGGGTTTTCGGCGGATATGTTGGATTTCCTCGACCCATAATATTCGAAATTGATTTTTAGGCTGATAGTTTGATTCAGCGACCCTTCCAATTAACATATTATTAGACATGTTCACCGTGATCCTAACTTGTCATATTGACAACAAATTATTGTTGGTCGCCATCTTGCATATTTCGATTCAGAGACCCCAAAAATTATATAATTGACATATTATTAGCTATATTTACCATTATTCTAAATTGCCATGTCGAAGAATATGCATTTCTCACGTTTTTGGCCGCTATAACCAAAAAATTGCACAAATAAGTTTTTTCCAGTCTATTTCGCCTAGGAAAAATTGGTGGTCGTGAAATGGACTCAAATTGCCCCAACCCTAGTGAAACTCAAGGCCCGTACATCGAATACCGTTGTTTGTTTTGTAATCAAAAATGGTATACAAAACGTTACTTGTCGTAAAGGGGCACAAACCCTTTCGATAAACACGATATGTTGTCACCCCTTTGTACGAAATGATATAATTATAGTTCCCATTTTGATATTTCCGATGTCAAAGCTTAACCAAAGCTGATTTCAAACACGTAGGTAAGTTTTGAATAACCATAGTATAGTAGTTAGTTCATAAGAGAGAACAATACTTTTTTATAACTGTGCATAATGTTCGCTGAATTTCTCCTTCGAAGGCGTTCAACATTTTAAGACAATAACGTGGTTTTTTTTTCTGTGATTCGCCATTTTTAAAAATGAAACAAACTCTTCTATCTCAAGAGTGTTTAATGATATGGGCTGTCAAGTGTGAATTGGAGCATGCACATCGCTCTCCGCACTTGTCAGGATAACGACTGTAGGGTTATTATGGAAAGTGAGCGTAGTTGTTCGGAAGTTACGATAAACCGAAACCCAAGTGAGTGTAGGTATACAATAGACATATGTTGCTCACAACGCGGCCTAGGTGGGGCTTTCGTTGGTTGGTTAAATAATCGGTGGTGGTGATCTGGAATTAGCGATTATTTGACTGTCAAACAAGCTTTCTGTAAAAATGATTATGTGCAGGACAATTCATGTATTCTTACGCAAGCGTTCTTTACTCTTCTTATAATTCAATTATTTGAATTTTATGTCTTTGGTAGACCTGGAATGGACAGATAGGCTCCGTTTGTACAAAACTCTTTTTAAGTCGGCTAAAGATTTTAATGTTAAAACAGTTACTAATTAACTTGAGTAAATTACGATGATTACTTCTTTGCCAATAAAATATGCATTGGCCGAGAAAGTTCATCCAGATTTTCCGGCGTGGTTCCCCCTTGTCAGTGATGCAGGATGGAGAGCCTGACAAGGACAGCTGTCTAGTCCTTCGGATGACACGAAAAACCGAGGTCCCGTGTATACATTGGAATGTACGTAAAAGATCCCCTGGCAGTTGGAATTCGATATAAGAGTAGGCGATAGTGCCGCTGCCCGGGCAAAATTTCCCTCATAGCACACTGTATGGCGTATGCCCCTCTTCATTAGCCCAGTTTAGGAGCAGAACAGGACGTTAAACCCCATTTCATTTCATTTCATTTCTAATCTGCTTCTTATATGATGTAATGAGTACAGCTGTATTTTTGTGACTTGTAGAAAGAGACTTAGCCGACAAGTCGACATCTCAATGTTACGACAAAAATAACACGATGTTACGACAGAGTAAAGTGTCGTGTGATTGCGTCAATACTGCCGTGATGTCGTGTTGTCGCGTTGTGAAAAGGCGAGATTTAATATGGCCACTATCAGCCACCATACGCATCACATTTGTATAGGTGTAGTTACATATCACTTGCCGTCATACAGACGAGGTTTGCCGAATGTGTACACATCTCATGCCAAAAAGTTGCTTACATGGAAACGGACCCATTACATTATACCGACTTTTTCACTGGCGGAAACTCGTGCATGGAAAGCGGGCCTAAGATCTTGTTTTGTGACATTGACCAGGATTTTGAGTAAGAATGACATTGGCAATGCGACATATGTCGATGAGAGTAGAGTGCTCGATGATGGCGTGTTTAAGATGTGCAGATCAGTGGTACCACCACTGACTTGAGTGATTCTGATAAAGATGTGGAATGGGTGTGTTGTGATGAGTGTGACGAATGTATGCATGTTGTGTGTATTAGGGAGAGTCGGGGGGGGGGGGCATAGTTTATACTGCAAACATATTCCTTCTCATTTATTTGTTTTATAAATAAAGCTTATCACATGATCACAATCACGTTAAATTTAATAAAATATGTCGTATGTAGGGTTTTCGGGGTCGCTGGATCGAAATGCATGCTTGAAAATCAATTTCGGATATCGGTTACATAAAAATGTCCTGGCAAGCGGCGAAACGCCTCTCACAGAATCAAAAGGAAGACCTCAAAAAGAAAAGAAAAAAACCTTATCAAAACACTACACTTCTTGGAAATATATAGAAACCACACTGGCCCTGTATCACCTTTCACTGTAAACATTCTGAGAATACTAAATCAGCAACAACTGTTGTCAGAAATCATATGCTTCCGAAGCGCTTTATCTCAGGATATCCGCCAAAAGTGCTGAGTAAAAAATAGACAATGGTAAATTCAAAATCCAGATCTTCAAGGTAAATCACGGAATCTAGGAATGGCAATAGGAATGAGATTTATGTGAACATTATTATGTGATGATATGTGCCCTCTTGCAGGTTATTGTATAATTTTCGTATAAACATTAGACTGCGCAGACTACATAATAAATCTGTTCGGCATATTCAGTGGGATATCATTTGAGATCGGACATGGTCGAATACTATCGACATAGCATGTATATTTATGACTTTGTTTTGCCAAAATTGTTGTGAAACCCGTTGATACTTTTATATTTATAAAAATATTTTATTGTATAACGAGACAAATGTTTAGTTTTGATATTTTCTATAATCATATGTTCTTTATCTTCTCATTTGTTAGATGTGGAATGTGGATGTTAGCACGAGTTATACATTCGCGTCGTCTGGAAAGAAATTGTCTTTGCAGGATTTTGGGCCGCCATCTTGGGTTTTCGGCGGATATGTTGGATTTCCTCGACCCATAATATTCGAAATTGATTTTTAGGCTGATAGTTTGATTCAGCGACCCTTCCAATTAACATATTATTAGACATGTTCACCGTGATCCTAACTTGTCATATTGACAACAAATTATTGTTGGTCGCCATCTTGCATATTTCGATTCAGAGACCCCAAAAATTATATAATTGACATATTATTAGCTATATTTACCATTATTCTAAATTGCCATGTCGAAGAATATGCATTTCTCACGTTTTTGGCCGCTATAACCAAAAAATTGCACAAATAAGTTTTTTCCAGTCTATTTCGCCTAGGAAAAATTGGTGGTCGTGAAATGGACTCAAATTGCCCCAACCCTAGTGAAACTCAAGGCCCGTACATCGAATACCGTTGTTTGTTTTGTAATCAAAAATGGTATACAATTCTTTACTCTTCTTATAATTCAATTATTTGACTTTTATGTCTTTGGTAGACCTGGAATGGACAGATAGGCTCCGTTTGTACAAAACTCTTTTTAAGTCGGCTAAAGATTTTAATGTTAAAACAGTTACTAATTAACTTGAGTAAATTACGATGATTACTTCTTTGCCAATAAAATATGTGTGAATTCGAACTAAACACCAATTTCTAGGATTCAGCCTATGTTCTTTGTTGGTTTTCTAATAACTTAGATATATATGAATTAGACTTTCCATAATTTATAACCAGTCTCATTTAACAAATATATCAGTAATAATATATAAATACTAATATAAAATTTCCAAACTTGGTGGCATCGTAGCCGAGTCTTGTCTATCCACATTTTCTCTGTTTTGTTCAATTGTTATTAATGAAAATGAAAGAACTCGTTTCGTAAAAAGTTCTATATTGGCAATATTTATTTTGTATTTTGTTGACTTTGAAAGATGACAGTTAGATCAACGTTCATTTGGGGCGCCCCTGACAATCAACATATATGCATATAGTTTCTTTGGATTTCACTCTACATTAGAATAAATCATACTAAAATATAATACAAGTCCTAATATGAGACAAAACACGAGTGCAAAAGGAAGCCAATTAAAAAAGTTAAATAATTAAACTAATTTATAAATATATAATATTCGCTGTATTGTTTTTCAATCTATTTTAAGCACAGGCAGGTCACATCATTTTACAAAATCAAGCTCGAATTTTCCTTAAATAAAAACGAATTACACAAATTAAAATCAAATTTGTATGTTTGAACAAAATATATCAGATGACCTGTTAAATACCTAAGGAGTGGGGATCGTATTTGAAGTATCATCTCCATTCGTCTGATTGGCATCCTTTGGAACCGTCTCACCATCAGTATTATCTGAATCAGCATCTGAGGCAGCATCAACAGCGGGAACTTGGTTACCAGGAACATGGTTGTTTGTTGAATCAACAGCGGGGACTGGAACACTTGGGTCAGTTTGTCCGACTTGTATTACATCTTTGCTTTTTGGATCAGCAGCAGGGACAGGGTCGTCATTATCATTGTCACCGCGTTTACCATTGTCGTCATCGCTATTGACATTACCAATGTCATCACCATTATCATCACCATTGCCATCTCCATTGTTATTCTCTGTGTCCTCACCATCAATGGCGTCGCCATCACTATTGTCATCACCAGCGTCATTACCATCTCTGTCGCCGTCATCATTCCGATCACCATCGTCATCACCGGTGTCATCATCAGTGGCATCACCGTCGTCATCATTTGTGTCATCACCATTGTCATTACCACTATCATCACCATTGTCATCACCACCTCTACCCGCAACATTACCGTTGTCATCACCATTATCATAACCATCATCATCCCCATCGCCGTCATTACCGTTGTCATCACCATTATCATCATCATCACTGCCTTGACCATCATCACTGGTGTCATCAGTGCCCTCGCCGTCGTCATCATTTGCGTCATCACCATTGTCATTACCACCATCATCACCATTGTCATTACCACCATCATCACCATTGCCTTTACTGGCAACATTACTGTTGTCATCACCATTATCATTACCATCATCACCATTGCCGTCATTACCGTTGCCATCACCATCATCAAAATCAACATCGTTGCCGTCATTGACGTCATCATTAACAGTATCATCACCATTGCCACCACCATTACCGTCGTCATCTGAGCCGTCGCTACCATCATCATCACTAATGCCATCATTATCATTATTGTTTCTGTCGTCATCACCATCGTTACCATCGGTCACACCAGCATTGCCATCGTCAACGCCGCCATTATTGTCGGCATCAGCATTAGCCTCGTCGTCATCACCATCATCCCCATTTTCATAAACATCGCTACGATCACCATTTTCATCATTTTCTTCACCGTCATCACTCGTTTCGCCATTATCATCGTCGTCGCCGTTGTCGCTATCATCATCATTACCATCATTGTCATCACCAGTTTTGTCATTATCGTCCGTTTCGCTATCATCATCCTCATCATCATTACCATCATCATTGTCATTGTCATCGTCGGCTTCATTATCATCATTGTCATTATCGTCTGTTTTGTCGTCGTCGTCGTCATTATTATCATCAGAATTATTATCACCATCTTTATCGTCTTCGTTGTCGTCGTCGTCGTTATCATCATTGTCATTATCGTCTTCGTTGTCGTCGTCGTTATCATCATCATCATTATCCTTGTCGTCGCCATTATTATCATCGTCGTCGCCGTCGTCGTCATTAGTATCATTGTCGACGTCGTCATTATTATCATCATCATTGTCGTTGTCGTCGTCGTCGTCATTATCATCGTCGTCGTCATTATCATCATTATTATCGTCGTCGTCATTATCATCGTCATTATCATCATCGTCGTCGTCATTATCATCATTATTATCGTCGTCGTCATTATCATCATCATTATTATCATCGTCGTCATTATCATCATCATTATTATCGTCGTCGTCGTCATTATCATCATCATTATTATCGTCGTCGTCATTATCATCATCATTATTATCGTCGTCGTCATTATCATCATCATTATTATCGTTGTCGTCATTATCATCATCATTATTATCGTCGTCGTCGTCATTATCATCATTATTATCTTCGTCGTCGTCTTTATCATCATCATTATTATCGTCGTCGTCGTCATTATCATCATCATTATTGTCGTCGTCGTCGTCATTATCATCATCATTATTATCGTCGTCGTCATTATCATCATCATTATTATCGTCGTCGTTATCGTCTTCGTTGTCGTCGTCGTCGTTATCACCATCATTGTCGTCGTCGTCATTATCACTGTCGTCGTCGTCGTCGCCGTCACTATCATTATCATCAACACTATCACTGTCGTCGTCGTCGTCGCCGTCACTATCATTATCATCAACACTATCACTGTCGTAACTATCGTCATCATCATCGTCGTCACTATCATTATCATCATCATCACCATCACTGTCGTCATCATCATCGTCGTCACTACCATTGTCATCATCATCACCATCACTGTCGTCGTCATCATCATCATCATCGTCGTCACTACCATTGTCATCATCACCATCACTGTCGTAACTATCGTCATCATCGTCGTCACTATCACTGTCGTCATCATCATCACCATCATCATTATCATCATCATCATCATCATCATCATCACTGTCATCGTCGTCACCATCATCATCATCATCATTACTGTCGTCACTATCATTGCCATCACTATCATCGCCATCACCTTCGTTATCACTGTCATCATGTTCATCACTGTCGTTATCATCATCATTATCGCCTCTGTCCTTATTATGTAGGTTGTTATTATTATCATTGTCGCTATCATCATCGAATCCATCCTTTTTCAAACCAGCGTTGACCTCTTTTATTACACTTTCGACAAGTTCATCGAAGTTATCTTTTATATCGCTTTCTGCCTAGAAAATGAAAAAAAGAATTAGTAAATGAATAAAGGACATGAATTTAAATATTGCTTCAGAATCCTAACATGAACACAGGGAATGGTAATAGGGGAGCCGCGGTGGTTCAGTGACTAAGACGCCGGTGTTGGCCGAGAAAGTTCCTCAGGATTTGCCGACGTGGCTTCAATGGTACAACACGGAGGACCAGACAAGGAAAGGTGATTGCCGTTCGGATAGTATAAAACATAGAGGTCCCGTATATACATCGGCATGCACGTAAAAGAACCTTTGACAGTTGGAATTCCGAATGAGAGTATCCCGTAGTGCCACTGTTTGGGTAATCCCGTCTTTGTTGGCCCAGTCGGGACAGAAAGCAGGAGGTTAAACCCTATTTTATTTCATTTCGATTCGTAATAGTTTATTTTTAACAGCTTGTCAATATACAAAGCTAATCTTTTTTAATTGTTGCGTGCTTCGATTATATGTCCCCGGTTATCGTTATGACACCTCTATCTTCCAATATTAACTAAATTTTAAAGGAAGAAAATATGGAAAATACAGAAATAGGGGTAAAGAAAATTGACTCAAATCGAATTATATTTTTAAATTTTCATTCAAATCTGGGGGGGAATACTTGCCGATGTGAAAGGGTTGTTATAGGTACTGGGTATGATCGATGTTGCACGGGCGAAAACAAATGGTTCACAACTGATTTCATATTACAGAGACATAAACAGGGAACCAGAAATCGGTTTTACTTTGCAAAGCAATAACACATTATGTATTTAATAAGCTGCAACTGTCATTTACAGAAAGTGAAGAGCCCAGTGTATTTTTCCACAGAGGCGACCAAAGCTTACCTCGAATATGGTGTCGTCATTACTCAATTGATCACCTTTCTGTGCGCTTCCTTGTCCAGCCAACCGGTTCTGTAAAATATGCCAATAGAATAAATAAACAATTCGGTGGGATGCGGGGGTATTTTTTTCTTTTAGTGGGTGTGTGGGGAGGATATCTGGAGGCTTAAACCTGATATTTATTAGGTTTTCTCACAAACACTTGATTCATTTGGAATAGAGGTGTGTGTTAATGTTAATGATTTATAAATGTCGGTTGCACAAAGTAATCTGCTATATTGGGGGGGGGGGGGGTCCACGATGTAACGCTTTGCCCCACTGCCAAAGACGCAGACGCGCAATCAATGAACTGAAATAAAAATATGCTAGCCATGGAATGATCTAGTACTTTGCGTCGTGTGGACAAAGAAATGTATGATCGATTTGGTGTAAGAAAGATGAGTGATTGGCGCCTATTGTCTCAATTTAATCATAATTAATCATAATTAACAATCAGAATGGAATAACCATTTTATTGTTCCCTCGTTTTATATTACTCTGATATGATTGATTGACATAAACTTTTTCAGTTTAATACCACAAAGGGGTGCTATTTCTTTTTATTCATTCAATTTTTTATTTTTTTTTTATTTTTGCGTGCCTGGTAAAAGATAATTATGCTCGATGCTCACACCAGACCACTCCAAACCAAATGCACCACTGGCAGTAGGGTATAATATCTTTGCAAAGGACTGACAGCTATGTCTCAGTTTTCACGTACAGTATATAGTTTAAATGTGTAGTGAAATCCCGACGAATTAAAAATTTCTTTAAAATGTGAACAAAGCTTTAATATATGAACGACCCGCCCATTTAAAAGCGTGACATACCACATCACATGATACCATGGAGTAAAAACGAGAACTTTTATTAAGATATGGATTGAATTATATTTTAAACTTACCGATTCCGATTGATTTGTAAGGTTTCCAGACATATGTAGACCGACCGTAATACCAACAATACCAACAACACCCAATATGCTGGTAGCTATGATGTATTTAAGAAAACTGGTCTTTTTGGCTCCCTTGGAGGGATTGATTGCTGCCTATACAAACAAAAGATGACAGTGTTTAAATATAACTGTTTTAGTTACAGAAATCTATAAATTCAAAATTTCGATTGTAGCTTTCTAAAATGCACGACGAAGTCTCATTAATAGTCATTTCATCTACTCTAAGTCATGTCTTTAATGTTACAAAATGACACAAGTGATAAAATCCATGGCGTGTCATTGAGAGAGGGAGAGAAATGGGGTTTAACGTCCACTCGACACAAACTAGGTCATTTCGGGACTAACATATGGTTCAATTTTATTTCAATAGTTCGCTTGCGCGTAGGGGTCTTTAGCAGTGGTGGGAAACCGGAGGACCCGGAGAAAATCAACGAGGTTGAACAGACGATCTTAAGTGAGGAATCGAAACCACGCCACTTTACTCAATGACAGACCTTATGATCCAACGCGCAAGCGTTAACCATTCGGCCACACAACCTCCCTCCTTTTACATAATATACCGTATTCAAAGTAACATATCTTAGCACAAAGAAATGTGTCAGTATCATCTATATGTACATAGTAGTACATAATAAGTCATACTCCTATATCCTTTTTAAACAGGACATGTAATAATATGTTACATTATTACTTATAGAATACCAGATGATGAAATTGTGGTAAAGTATACAAATTAAACGCCAAAATGTGACAGATTGGTCCAGATGTTTTGTCTGAAAGTTTCAGCTCAATCCGTTGGGCGGTTGGAAGTGATCCCTAGATTTACTTAACGAGGTTACGTAATTCCTTTAAAGAATTCCATTGAATCGTAAGAGTGACTTTGTAATAGCGAATCACTTTTATGACTTTAATTCATGAAAGTTAGTACGAATGGCTATCCAATCAATTGGAGATAGCATAGAAACCGAAAGTTTGTACGTCTGCGAAAAGGCATTACAAAGCTTCCAGTTCCAATAGTTTAATGTGACTAGGATAGAGGTTACTGATAGTATTCCACGTAGACTCATCTTTTCTCCAAATTATACATGGGGATGTTTCTTTAAGAAAAGACATGTAAATAGTTTTATACGTAAATAAAAGAAAATCAATTACGAACAATCCAAACCATTAGACAAAATTCGATTTCTTAAAAAAACGTTTATTATAGGCAAAATAGTGTAATCAACAAAATGAACTGTTCACTGTGTACAAAAGCATGTGAAAGAGTTTTTATGGTAACCCATCCACTGAAATGACATTAATCATTTCATATGACAATGATAACCATCCCCTTTAAGCAATGACTACTAAAGATTTAACGGAAAACATATTAAAGGTGTTTGTTTTATAAAATATAATTTACCTGGAAAAAACTTATTTTCATGGAGTTTTATCTGCTTGGTGGTTAAACTTATTTTGCATACATTGATACATATTATTTTAAAGTATTATTTGGCAATTATAAAAGTAGCCAAAGAAAGACTTTAGGATTTGAGTAAAAAAAGCGAGAATTTAATTTTCCAAGAACTAGAATTTGAACACTGTTTTGTTGAAAAAAAGATATGTATCCTGGCATTTTGTCAGTTTCTGCGAAAATGTCGTATTAAACTGATACAATTATTATTGTTTCTATCCAATACAAAGACAATACAATTAACAATATACATGTTTAAAATATAATCCATAAAGAAAACTCTACCTCTTCATCGTATTCTGTTTTCGGCATTCTGAAAATTTAAAGGAGTTGTTTCCGTGGCTTTACAAAAAGAAAATCGCACAAAAGGCACTAAAACAATAAATTCTCCGAGAGAAAGGGGGATGACCAGCACACCCCAACGAAATGAATAGTCTGCGATTCTTTGTATAAGTAATTCTACTTTTATAGAATGGAATGGAGTATAGTCTATCTAGGCGTCGCGCTCTGATGTCATGCTTTACCCCATGTCAATCATCTCGTCAAGAAAGTTGCCATACTAAAAACGAAAATACATCGTGAGTAATTTGTCTTCGTTTAGTTATTTTGACTGACAATACACGTTTTTTGCCCTACAATAATACATGAATGTCATAAAATATATGTTACCATAAATAAGCATACCTAAACGTAAGCAATCGTGTCATTTTACGCAACCCACACATGCGCCGTTTTTTTTTTAAAAAATTCATATTAAATATGAGAATCATCGTGTCTGTTGAATTCTAGTTATGGCTTTTGTACAGTGAAATGTTGAGGTGATTGTTCCGACAGGGCCAGATTTACCATTAGGCATAATAGGCCATTGGCAGCGTGCCAGCGTTTAACCTTGTTTCTGTAAAAAAAAAAAATTGGGGGGGGGGGCTATTGATGAGTTGTTAAATCCACGTGTAACATACAAAGTCATGTATAATGGGGTTTAATCAACTTCTTACAGACGATCTTTAACAATATGTGATAATACTTCGCAGACAGTGAAATCCATTGGACAACAACCTGGCATTTACTGGGTTAAAGGTTTAATCATCCCTGTAGTTTGTAAAGTTATTAGGAAAAAAAAACATGCTAAGCTATGGGCAGACGAGTGGTTTTGTTTTCGCCTGATCGCGGCGATTGGAATTCGCCAGCGTTTTTTTTACGGCCGATCACGAACGGACACACATAGCGATCGCCTCGAGTAAATTACGTCTATCACGTGACTTGTACAAAATGACGAATTATTTGATATCAATGATGTCTCTAATTGGCCTATGAAAATTGTTCGCTCGACAATATACGCTGGACACGGGTAGGCGAGCGAATAAGCCGTCGAGTCGATCGCTGGTGTGAAATATTCGACCGAAAATATCTAACATGCTAGATACGGACGATCGGTCGGGCGAATGGTTCGCGGAGCAGAATCGGCGCGATCGGGCAAAAAAATACGCTCGTCGGCCCTGGGTATTAGGACCACACACCCCTTCTGTCCTATCTTCTTTAACCTGTTTTTTTTTCTTTTCGATTAACCATGTTTTCTTTAAGGGTAGAACTCAGTTTGTATACCTGGGTCCGTATTCAATGGATATCTTAAGTCTAAGATAGTCACTTAACTACATTGTACTAGATTTCACTTAAATATACGTAACTTCCTGTAAGTTAAGGGTAAGTGGTATTCAAATGCAGTGTTAAGTATTGAACTTTCCCTTAAAGTTAAACTGCCTTAACTTATAAGTTAACTACATTGTACTAGATTTCACGTAAACATACGTAACTTCCTGTAAGTTAAGGGTAAGTGGTATTAAAATGCAGTGTTAAGTATTGAACTTTCCCTTAAAGTTAAGCTACCTTAACTTATTCAAAGGCCAGTTTAAGGTTACTACCACCGAAATAGTCATGGTTTTTTCCCGATCATCTATCATGTTCGTATTGCTTAAATATAATAAAGTTTGTTTGATGCGTTAAATTTATTTGTAAATTTGACATTGTGATGACATTCCATTGTAGATTTCAGAAAATATTAATACGGCCGCGAGAAGTAAGCCATGGTTTATTTTTTACAATTCATTCCCATAATAATATACATATTTGAAGTTTTGATTGCTACATGTTCTTGTCTTCGTTTGTATAAATTTACAAAAATATGATGATGACTGCTGACCGAATCGTGCCATCAATGATTTACAATGTACCGTCATGGCCATGCCTTTGGGATTCTAAAGTTTAGGAACTGACGCAATTTTTATGAATTTCTTAAATAATAGAATGATTTGTTCAGTTTAACTTTAAAACCAATAGCCCTGCGTATTGCTAATGTGTTATTTTCTATTCGATATAATAAAGTTTACAATATCCATCCTTATACTATCACTATTCGATAACTGCTATTGAAATCTATTGTTTTTGAAAAACATCTATACGAAAACGGCTGTTCTGGTAACGGATGCGTACCCTCACAATTTATCATAATTATAGTCATACTAATTTCGTGCGTTACAATATAATATTTCTTCAAAAACCTTCCTAGTAATGACAACTAAGATTTTAATAGAGTATATTGGTGCTCTTAAGGGGACATAACTCGCGTGCGACGTGAGTAATTCGAGTTTTTGGCAGTGGAGGTTATTCCATAAGTTCAAAAATTAATGCTTTTTGGCTAATGTTTGTATTCCATATTTTAAGTGCGCAGTTAAGTTTTTCACATAGCCAAGTATATGTAAAATAGAGCCTTATTTGAATAAGTAATATTCGTTATTCAAACTTATGACATCATAATAATGTAGATCTGACGGTAAGTGGGCCTACGCGAATGTACGATTTTTAGGTTATTCCCCTGGAATATTCACTGATATGTAATGCTAACGGTACTAAAAATAAATATAATACAAAATCTTACAAAATATTTTCATTGATATCATTACACTATTTTACTGATACCCTTTTTTAGGACTTTGAATTTTGTCTAATGGTTTGATTGTTCGTACTTGGTTTTATTTTATATTTTTTTTCATGACATCAAAATCAGTTTCATCAATTGGCACTAGTCATTTCCTTCACCACTGTCTTTTAAGAAGTTACAGTTGAAATAATCGCCGGAACATTCATGGGTTATAGAACATTCAAATCCAACCTCTTTGGCCAAAGAATTTTGTAACCAAATCTGATTGTTTTAGTCACAGAAATCTGAAGCAATTATATCACACATAGCGGGTAGTAAAATGGTATCCTGCAATTTCGAGCCCATCACAGGGTGGAAATACTCTGCCAATCCAACACTGTAGCCTACTAAGTGCTATACCCTGTGATTTGAAGCAGAAGAACTAGTAGGTGCCAGTGTCTTCGGAAGTCTAAAAGTATACCGTTTTTATTATTTGTTTTTAGTTTTATCGAAGTAAGGGAGAATTACTGAATGATGAAGGTATACAAACAGCTGTGCATACATTCAGTAGGCATACTGAGTACTCTGCTGGCTCCCCGCCGCCGCTTGCCTTCCCTTGGTGCCTTGTTTGCTCATCGGTTAGCCTGGGTCTATATACCATATATCATTACATTTCACCAGAAATATTCTGAATAATATTATTAGACAAATGAAATGAAACGGGATTTGGCCTCTTGTTTTCTGTGCCGTCTGTGCTAATGAAGACGGGCAAACACCATGCATTGTGCTATGAGGATAATTTTGTCCGCAATTTGCTACGGCCTACTCTTATTTCGAATTCAAACTGTCAAGTGTTCTTTTACGTGCATGCCAGTGTGTACACGGGACCTCGGTTTTTCGTCCCATTGCCCTGCACCACTGATAAGGGGGAACCACGCAGGAAATCCTGATGAACTTTCTTGGCCAATGCTGGAATCTAACCTCCTTACTCAATGGGCCACCGCGGATCTCAAGATAAAAACGTATTTTCCTGTCACTCTGGTCATTGAGAACAGCATATACAAAGTCGTCCATATTAAAGTGGGTGTGGAACCTAGTTTCCACTTTGTGGCCACCTAAATTCCTTATTGTGATGCAGAGGGTGCATAAATAAAATGGCCGAATAAAATTCGCGATCTAGGCTACGGCAAGTAAAGTTGGACGCCCGCAAGCCCCCAAATTGCACTGTTGGGGGAGAGGATGCAGGCATCCCTCAGAAAATTTATAAAAATTTGACGGCTGCAATTTGAATGGAGCTCGGAATTGAAGGATACCACTTTACTGCCCACTATAAGATAGTTGCCATTATTGGCTTATTATTCATATAATTAAGGGGATTCTTATACGCCTTTATTTTCGTATGGACATATTATGATGTCCACAATTTTTAACCGATTTTGATATAACTTAAAAGATTTTTTCATTTCCAAAAGGTCACAGATGGGGTCAATATTTTGTGCGTATTAGGCCAAAACCTCCTGGGTAAATGTCTGTCATTTATGGATAATTGTAAAATATGTACAAAGTTTGTGGAACCACCTGTTGCCACAATATTTGGTCCGATTCGGATGAAACATTAATCTTAATAATCAAAATATATCGCAGACAGGGGCATCATACGGCAACTTCTTGACTTATGGACCTTGCATAGTACGCAAAATGTGAATTATGTACTAAGTTTGTGGACACCTTGGAGTCCCAATTTTTGGTCCGATTCATGTGGAATCCAACATAAAATTGTTAACGATCACAAGATAGTGGAGTTCGATTTTGGTCGGCATCAGACTGCAACTTCTGGGGGTTGTGGTCCTTTCATTTTACGCAAAATGTGAATTGTACAACGTTTGTAGATCCTCTAGAGCTAACAATTATTGTTTTCCGATTTGAATGACACATACATATATCTTAACGATCAATAGAATTTGACAATTTGGTGAGATATAATCCCCAAAAATGATATTTCGTTACCCGAAAGTCGACCATCTTGACAATGACCGCCATCTTGGATGTTCGAATCGCTAATGGGCATTTTTCAAAAGAGGTCAGCAAGGAGTATTTGTGCAAAATTTTTCCTGATTTTATGCATTTATCTGCTGGGAAAGTTTTCGGGCTTTACATTGACTAATGGATAAAACATTTTCAAATCAGTGTAATAAACACTGTCTTGCGCCACTCTATGAGTAGTCATTCTGCTTGATGGGCGCCATTTTTTTCGTGCCTTATTTATTTGATTTATCAGTTTTTCGGGACCTAAATTTCTGTAAATGTAACTGAGCTCAGATGGGCATTGCAAAACGATTCCCCCGTTAAGCTATTGGATCGCCTGTCCAACCTCGTGCGTTTTCTCCGAGTGGACGTTTTCGGAAGCAATCACAAAATGTTTGAATAAGTCATTTTGATACCTCAAATAGTGACGGAGATACGCCATATTGAATGTCGAAAAAATGATGAAGAAAAATAATTTCGCAAATCTTTGATGCTAAATCTAATCGAGCG